CGGCGTAGTTGCCCTTACGCAGCAGGCGGTGCACCCGGCCCACCGGGAACTGCAGCCCGGCGCGGGAGGACCGAGACTTGGCCTTAGCGCGGGCCTTGCCGCCTTGCTTGCCACGGCCAGACATGACTACCAAATAAGAGGAAGAGAGAAAAAAAAACAAAAACCTTAAAAATATCTAAAGCACAGAATTTCGCAACCAATCCGGACTGCAAAAGCACCAAAAAGGAGGCCTTTATAATCTTTCCGAGGGGTGGGGTCAGGAACGAGTTTCTTCCATTGGCCCTAATTCGGCTTCACAAACGGCCAATAGGATGTAGAGTTGTTGTCTCACGTAGGCTTTACTGAAAACGCAAGGTCTCGACATAGACCAATGGGAACGAAAGACTTTTTGAGCCTTGATTTGCATAACGTGGTTATAAAAGGCTCAGGTCCGCCCATTCCTATACTTCTTTCCTTTGCTAAGCTTTGCTGGTGTTGTATGTTATCATGCCTGAACCGGCAAAATCTGCTCCGGCTCCTAAGAAGGGCTCGAAGAAAGCCGTCACCAAAGCCCAGAAGAAGGACGGCAAGAAACGCAAGCGCAGCCGCAAGGAGAGCTACTCCATCTACGTGTACAAGGTGTTGAAGCAGGTCCACCCCGACACTGGCATCTCGTCGAAGGCCATGGGCATCATGAACTCCTTCGTCAACGACATCTTCGAGCGCATCGCCGGCGAGGCGTCCCGCCTGGCGCATTACAACAAGCGCTCCACCATCACGTCCCGCGAGATCCAGACGGCCGTGCGCCTGCTGCTGCCTGGCGAGCTGGCCAAGCACGCCGTGTCCGAGGGCACCAAGGCCGTCACCAAGTACACCAGCTCCAAGTGAGTGCCGCCCGCCCCCGGCGCTCCTCGGCTGCCTTCTCCAAAGGCTCTTTTCAGAGCCACCCACCTCATCAGAAAAGAGCTTCGTTCACTTTTGTTTTCATAGTTCCTTGTCGAAAAGTAGTCTCAAGAGTATAGCAGATGGTGCACGTAGCTTTTAAAATATTTGTCATTGGAAGTTGCTGGCGCGTGACTGGTTTTGCTTGTGTCCATCTTTATTCCCTGCCTAGCTTTCTTAGGTGTCAGTTCTAGAAACCCATCCCGAGCCACCCCACTCCGTTCTCCCCCCACTCCCCGACTTAGGTCCAGGCCGCTCTGTTGGGTGTGTTTTGCACATCTAAGATCAAATGACTGATCTCCTTTGACCACGATTTAAGGGGATTCTGGGACACAGCTAAGCCCGAATCCGGTGGATAATGCGTGACAGCTTTGTACGAAAGGCTCGGCCTCAGCTGTGAGTCCCTGGCGGGTTCTGCCCTGCGGTGATTCCTGTGGCCGCCAGCTGTTGTGTACTTGGGGCGGAGCCCGGGCCTTCGGGTCCCAGCCTTTTCCTGATTGGGCGACATGAATATTTAAAATTCCGCGCCGCAGATTTCCTAGGCTTCAGTTACTGTCACCCCTTGGGGACTTTGAGATGCCTATTACTTCTGGATTTGGGGGTCATTTTTGCATTTAATACTCTGCTTGGAACGCTACGGCCTCAGGTTTTTGCAAGGTCCTGGGCATTTAGATCCCGGCACGAGAGTCTCCCGGGAGAGACCTCTGCAAGCAGGAATCGCGCTTCTCTTTCTGCCTGTGTTTTGCTTCCTTCTAGCAACTGCCTGAAATTAGTTCATTTGCTCTCTTATTTACGATCTGTCCCCAAGATTTAAAGGCTTTGCGGGGCTGGTTTTCGGCCGTGTCTTCCGCGCCAGTCAGTTCCCCGGCACGCAGGGAGCTCTTCGTACAATTTCTGAAATTAATTTTTCTATCCCATCTCGACCTCAGTTGCTTCCATGGATGGATGGGCGCCGCTCATTTCCTTTCGATGTAAGGGACGACACGATAAGAATGGTAACGTTTTGGAGCTCCTGCCTCAAATGTCCTTAGCCATCTCAGTGGAACAGCTGGAGAGGGGCCATGTTGCTTCTTGGAGGAAGAGGCCCTGGCCCCCGTGATCCTCCTCCCTTCCCTTGCCTGGGTGGCGGTCGCCTGGGTTTCCGCCCAATTCAGAGCACCGTCCCTGGAGAGAGACTTTTTCATGAGCACCGCCCTCCCATTTTCTTTTCCCCAGTGAGATGAGCTTTTAATTTAATTCACCCTCTCCCTGGCTTTTCAGAAATAGACAGGGAAATTAGGTATGGCTAGGAGGTTAATAGTTGGAGAGAGAAGCTGGCCACGCGGCTAACGCTACCATTTTGTATTTTCCTGTGTGAGAGTACTTACAGTTTTATGTTGTGGAATTACAGAATACTGACACTGTCTAAGCTTTGATTTTCCCGATGATCTCTGGTCAGTCACTCAACTCTGCTTTTGGCTGAAGTCTTCCAGCATTGATTGCAGTGGTTTTTGAAACCAAAGGAGCTCCTTTATCACATTATCACAGACTGAATAAATCGTGCTTCTCCTATATGTGTATTTTCAGATGTGTGTGGTGCCCCCCCCTTGGAGACAGGGTCCTGCTATACGACTGGCCTAGAACTCTTGGCAATCCTCCTGTCTCAGCCTCCTTAGTACTGGGATTATAGGAGTGTGCTACTACATCGAGCCCAATTATTAGCAAAGTTGGCCAATGAATTTAAAAGCTTTGCTGAATTCTTTTAATTGCAATTTATTTTCTCAATAAATGAAATTAGTAGATACTGTGGCCTGTGGTTGGGTTTATGGAAAAGCTGTGTGCCTCTGACCTCCAGGGTGCATATTTATAAGCTATTAGCCAAACTTCTACCCTAGAAATGAATGGGAGCTGGTATAACCTGTTACAAGTTCACTGTTAATACGTAGTGATTGAGAAATACAGGATCACAATCAAGAATCGTGACAAGCAGTGTGGAAGAAATAGTTCTTAATAAAGTTTAGCTAACACCTACAGAACCGTTGTAAGGAGCCAGGTAGTGCTCTAAGCCCTTTAAACGTGCTGACCCACTTAATCCTCATGGGATAGTTATCATTGGCTTTCATCTTACAAATTAGGAAGCCGAGGCACAGAGTGGGCTTTCTTCACAAACGCTCTGGAGAATAAACTCAGTTTGGTGACGGGAGTTAGGAAACAGAACTGCGTTCTGAAAACCTGGGTCCTTCTCTGGAATTTGGGGGGAAATACCTGAAAAAGAAATCACCAGCTTTATTCTCCTCGGATTACACCCTAGATATAAATGGGTCGCAGTGGGGGCTGAACTGGAGGAGGCTTGGGGGCTTTGCTACTCCTTCCTGGAGGCCACGGCTCGGTTCAGTTTAGCCATCCCCACTGTGTGGGGTGCCAGCTGGTAACCTTTCCACTGGGGTGAGAGAGCTTCCTTGCTGGTTTTGGGTTCTTTCTGGGCATGATGGTCACCAGGAAGGAAGCTATAAGCAAGAAAAGAAGAAATGGTGACAAAATTTGGTATTTTAACTCCAGAGGGAAAGAAACGGTGAAATTAATCTCCTAAAAAATCCTCTTTAAATATTTCTTTCTCCTGCTCGGACATCTTGAACATCTGTTTATACAGGGTCTACAACAATAATTGTTATAGTAGCAATTGCCTCCGCTTTTATCTTTTGTTTTTTTGAGATGGTGTCTCACTATGTAGCCCAGGCTGGCCTCGAACTTGCAGTGATCCTCCTGCCTCAGCCTCTCAAGTGCTGGGATTATGGGCCTGCGTCATCACACCCAGCTTTTCCATTTATTGAGCACCTAACCATTTACTGAGAACTCTACAAAGTGGCTTAAATGAATTGCTACATTTGGTTTTCACAGCTACTTTTAAACATATGTTCCATTGTTATTATGTTTATTTTGCAGATAAAGGAAACTGAGTCTCAGACAGGTTAAGGGACTCATCCAGGATGTCTGTGAGCAGCGGATCTGAAGTCTAATGCATACTTTCTAACAGCTTCCTATCAAGCCCACCCATAACCTGCCTCTCCCTTCGTTTACAGGTTTGTCTCCCACAGCTCCCTACCCAGAAGTCCTGCTGTAGTTGTTGTGCTCTGTTCCCTTGTTCTAAACCATTTACTTTTCCCAGGTCTTGACTGAACTGCCCAGAGCTTTCTTTCAAGCCAAGGCCATGTGTCCCATGGTCCAGCTCAAATGCCATCCCCCCTCTAATTTTTTAAGACAAATTTGTGGAGGTATAATTAGCATACAACAATACCAGGAATTGAACTCAGGACCTTGCACTTGCCATGCAGGTGCAGCGCCCCTGAGCTACATGCCCAGCCCACCAACTGCATATTTAAAGCACAACTTGCAGCCAGGCCCCGTGGCGCACACCCATGATTCCAGTGCTCCGGAGTCTGCGGTAGGAGGATCACTGTGAGGGAGTTCAAGGGTAGCCTGGGCTACATAGTGAGAACCTGTCTCAAACAAAGAAACAGACAAACACCCAGATGAATGGCGAAGTATTGGCATGTGTACACAATAGAGTACTGTTCAGGCGCAAAGCAGGATAACGGAGTCCTTTGTAGAAAAATAGAGGCGCCTTGAGGCCATGATGCTAAGTGAAATAAACCAGACATAGAAGGTTCAATATTGCATAATTCCTCTTCCATGAGAAACTCAAAGCATCAATAATTTAAAGACCAGAGGAATTTCTGAGACTACACTGCTGAGGACCAGAGTTGGAAGGGAATGGTCATTCTGACTGCTGGGCTGAGTGGCCAGTCTCCCTCCCCTTGTCCAAAAAGTGGACAAGAAGGGCGGAGTACAAATAGCTCCCTGCATCTGAGGGAAAATCCAAGTGGTAGCTGGAGGGGAAAGTGGCAGTGAAAGAAACACAGAAATCTACACTTGGATGCAGAAAGTCTGATTCTGAGTTTAAAGCTTCTCCTTGAGCTCCCTGGCAGCAAGGACCAGCAGGGCTCTGAAGGGCTCAAAAGGACCCACTGACCGGGAGGGAGAAGCACCCTGAGCTATCAGAACAGCCTGTTTCTTGCTGTGAGGACCGCCATGAGATTCTGAAACACTGGGAGATTCATGAGCAAACAATAAATTGGCCAAATATCAAAGTTTATTGCTGGGCATAGTGGCACACGCGTATAATCCCAGCGCTCTGGAGGCTGAGGCAGGAGGATTGGCAGTGGTTGTAGGGAAGCCTGGGCTATATAGTGTGTTCAAGACCAGCCTGAACTACACAGTGAGGCCCGGTCTCAAACTGAAAAAAAGAAGAAAGTTTGTAAATACCCAGGGCTGGGTAGGGTTAAGGAAATAGGTGTTTTGCATGTTGTTAGTAGATAATTCAGTGCAAAGTATTTTGTGGGTAGTTTAGCAATAGCTATCAAAATTCCCTTTGTATATAGAAGTACAAAGTACAAAATAAAAAAAACCTAAATGAAAAATTCTAAGATACTTACACAGGAATGTTGAGTAGCAGCCTTTAAAATTGTAGTTTTAATTGTTTTTTTTTTTTTTTTTTTGTACTGGGGTTTGAACTCAGGTCCTTTCACTTGCAATGTAGTTTTCTTGTCTTTGTTTTTGTTTTTTGGTACCAGGGATCAAACTCCAGATCTTGCACTTGTAAGGCAGGCAGCAGCAGAACCACTGAGCTAAATCCCCGGCACAATGTAGTTTTAATTCTTTCTTGGGGGGGTGGGGGGCAGGGTCCACTATGTAGTTCAGACTGCCCTGGAACTCACAGTGTAGCCCAGGCTGGTCTCAATTCACAAGGATCCTCCCGCCTCAACCTCTGGAGTGCTGGGATTATAGCATGTACCACCACGCCCGGCTAGTTTTAATTCCTGATAATTAATAAATTCAAACTGGAGTAGTGGCTCACACCTGTAATCCCAGCACTCGGGAGGCTGCGGCAGGAGGATTGCTGTGAGTTCAAGACCAGCCTGGGCTACATAGTGAGTTCCAGGTCAGCCTCAACTACATAGTGAGACCCTGTCTCAAAAAGCCAAAAAAAAGAAATTCAAGTGTATACAAAGAGGCTGTTGTATACATTATCCAGGTTGCCAATTAATAACTCAACTATTGTATGTTATTTTGAAAGAGTCCCATATATCATATTTCACCCATACATTTTTCCTTATATATATTTTTAATTTATTGGTACATTTTAGGCATACAGTATAGTTACACTTATCATTGGGATCTTGTATCTTTACATGACAGGTCTTGGTTCTTATTTTTTCCCCACTCCCCTGCTGTCCCTTCACCCCCTCCTCCCTTCCCTATTTACAAAGACTTTGTTTCCATTTTTTCCTTTTCTCATATTTTTTCTTGTCTCTTCTTTCCTTTCCCCTACCCCTCCCACTCCCCCTACTCTTTTAGACCTTTTCTTCCTATTTCACATTATCAATTATACATTTTGATTCTTATTTATAATTTTAGTTTTTCACACCAGAGAAACTGTTTGGTATTTACACATGTGTGTCCTATTTACTTCACTTGAGTATGGCCTTAATGTGCCATTAGTTATAAATTTAGTTATAAAGGTCTCTAGTTCTAGTTTCTCATTCTTTTTTCCCTCTGAGTAGTACTCAATTATTTATATATATATATATATATATATATAT